AACTGCAAATTTCAGCAGTGTAAAGATTTCATGTTTATTTTTCCAGTTTGCTGAGAGTTCCAGTTGCTTACTCACTCCAGGGTTTTGGCAGAGAGACTCAGAGTTAAATGAGTTTTTCTCTCAAATCTTTTTCTCAGAGTCAGGGATGGTTATATTCAGTCTATTACTGACATTCAAAAGGAAAAATAAATAAATAAATAGTGAAAATGCTTAAAAAAGAGTGTGAAGACTAGCATAGAAATGAAACTGCAGTCTCAACAAAGCAGACCCCAGATGTTCAATACACATGAATCAACCTCCAAATCATGACTTCATAAAACCAAGCAGAGCCCACAACTTCTGTTGACTACTGGTCTGTTCTAGTATGTACCTTCTGTGTTTTGATGCTATATGGTTTACAGCTAAAAGCTTTCTCCATTGCTAGAAATTTTCTTCCCATCATCATTCCTTCTTTCCTCTCCAGCAGTAGCGTAGTTTAAATCTTTGAAGACTTCAGCTAACCTCAGGCTGATGTACACTACAACCTTTGGATCTCGGTACACGATTATTCTACACCGTTACTTTTCTAATGTAATAGATTTATTATTTCAGTTTATAGTTATTATTGCATTCATTATGAAAAAAATAAATCTGTGATACACTAAATAGCAATGGTAATGCAGCCACTGTAGCAGCTACTGTGCTGTGCACTTAATCCAGGCTTCCAGTGTGAATACTCAAATCCTGCCAGAAGGGTTACTCAGTGAAGGCAGCTGACTGCCCGAGCATCCTTTGTGAACAGCCGTTTGGGACTCTTGCCAAGGACTAGGTCTGTTGGGGTCATGGAAGATGCCCTGAGTCCCCTTAGGCACCATGGCTCCTGTAAGTGCAGAGAACAGCTCCCTGAGTTCAGAAGATCGAGTCCACTTCCTTAGCTGAACTTTCATACGTGTTGACTGCAGTTAAATTCACATCTTGACAACATAAACAAAGCACATAATGAAAATTACTTGACCTCGATGTTTAGAGCATTTAGGATTATCTTCACCTCAAAGATCTAACCGCAGATTGCTACCCAGTAATGCATGTGCCCCTTGGATGGCACTGATCTTCTCATAAATACTTATGTGGATCAATACCACTCCTCTGAGAGACTAGCCAGGATAAAAGGGAGAGTCAAACCTGTCACTGTTGTCTAATTTAGGAACACAAAACCTCCCCTGCAGTGAGGGCTGAGCATGCCTTTCCAAGGTGTTGGTGTGTCACACATTAAAGCACACCTTAATCTTAGCCAGTAATGACACAGGGGGAAAAAATGCATTTATTCTTTTTTTAGTTTATCAGGTTATCTGACACAAGTTCAAACCATATTGGCAGCCCAGATGTTAGTTACCTCTCCTTAGCGTAAACCTTCGGCAGTTTGCTGCTCTGGTTCTGGCAGAAGTTATCAAAGATGTAACTATTGATCGGTGCACTGGCATGCTATTGCTCTGTAATGAACAGCATCAGTAAGGTCTACTTAAATGTCTGTAGAGGTTTCCTATGGTCCTGCCAAGGGATGAAATTCATCTACTTAACAAAACATCCTTTTCCAGTTTTGCCCTTCTCTTGACCTGAGTTCTTTCTCTGTGATTGCAAACCATCAGTGTGACAAGGAACGTTCCCCTAAAAAATCTGCCAGCGCCACTGAACAACATCTCTGCTGGAGTGATGGGGAAATGTCAGGACTTCCTGGACAGGCCACCACTGACACCAGCACTGAGGAAGAGGAGACAAAGGTGGGAGGGAAGGGCAGCTGCATGGAGTGATCTCATGCAGGGGGAAGCCGGATTACCTTTTGGGAAGCTATGGATCATCACACCAGGCAAATGTATGAATCGTCACAAGTGTGCAACCCCAGTGAGGGTATTTGAGTAAACACAAAACAGATTTGCCAGACTAGTCCTGTAAATATTCTTCCTAGGCTTTCATGCAAACACTGTGCTTTGAAAAGCCTGAATGTCAGCATCTATGATGGCAAATTAATGCCCTGGTCTTGAACGTCTCATTAAGGTTGTAACGAGACTGACACCACAGGGCTGCAGTGGACTGGTCAGTCCCTGCATTTACTCTCCATGTTGTAGCTCAGTTGCTTGATAAGTTTCACTTCGATCATCGGCTTGGTTTTGGCTGACAGCTTTGGGAGAAAATTAAAGCAAGGTGCAACTCGGTGGAACAGGCTCTTAAATTACAGTAGATGCTGCAGTGTTATTATTAGCTTTTTATCACCTCTGGTAGCAAAAGCTGAAATTACTTTTACATATTCAAAGGAAGGAACACTGAAATTGCAAAACAATGCTGTCACCATGAAATGTAACAACAATTTCCAAATCATCTATTATCCTGACATTAAGACCAGCACTTACTATTTCCAGTTATAGCTGCAACAGCCACAGAAACAGACACTGTGGAAACAGGAACACGAGAACTCCCAATGTGTGATGAACTCACGACAACTCCCAAAATTTGGGGCCTGCCATTGCCCACTATATAGCATAAGTCGAGATTACAGGGATTAATCGACCTGTTCCATTTTAGTTATGCAATCTTTCTGTTTCTCTTTTTAGGGAGCATGTAACTGGAAGAGAAGTTGGCTTTGGGAGAGCAGTTATAAATCGGGGTTCAGACTGTCTATGTCCAGTTTTTAATTCTGCAGTAAGCTCAGTGCGATCTTTGGCAGATTACTTCCTCCTGAAGGAGGACAAGCGAACTACTTTATTTTGTACACACTGCATTCTGAATTTAAGTTCTTCAGGGTGAGAAGAACCACAGCCATTCTCCTCAAGAAATAACACTGGCTGGGATTTGCAGGAATTGCTGTTATAAAAAAAGTCAAATGTAACAAAGAAAAAAATGCAATAAAGAAAAGCCGGGAACAACTGCAAGACAATCTGAAATATCAGGTGCCTGGAAGCTACGCTTATATTGAATGACAACTCCTCCCCCCATTCCCAAACAATCTGTTGTCTATATACATTCAAATGCAAAATATAAATAAATATAAATGTATATAGAATTACACACGATCTCAGCTGTACTAGTGTAAGGAAACCTGTCACTGTATTTGTTTGGCTTTTGATATACAGCTGCCATAGCAAACCCTGCATGATTTTCATGAGCCACAATAAAATTCTATTAGTTCTGAGGGCTGAGAAGTAAACCCACACGTATAACCGCCTCAGACCCTGCAATGGTAAATGTCAAAATAAAACAATCCATCTTTTCCTTGGGAAGAAATAATCTAACCTAACAAACCTTCTGTGATTCAGCAATAGTTCCATTAATCAGTCAGTCACTCGCTAGGAAAGCTTTCGTCATTTTGTTTATATTAATACAGGACTGATTCAAATTCAGACAAGCTGAAAGTATAGGCTTAAAACATGCCAAACATCTTTTACATTTCCTGGAAACATCTGTTTTTAGTCTAGTCCTAGGCACATGTTTGTGGTTGTATGTTTAAGCTTGTTTAGTTTGCCAGATACCTCGTACATACTGCGGCACAGCTGACATGATATCCTGAAACACAGCATGGAAGTATCTGTAAAACATGATGTTCCCAGTAAATCTGTTGAACTTTTGTTGTAACTTTCTTGTAATGAAAGAAACAACTAAAAAGCTCTGTGACAGCCTCCTGCCATCGCTGTATGGTGCAATTAATTAGTTAAGTTTAGAAATTCTGTACATGCCTCACTGGTAATATCCAGAAGACTGAGAGCGATCCTGACACTGCATGCCTCACATGCTCAAACCTCCTATTAAACTTAATGGGAGTTTGGGGGGATGAGAGGAATGCAGGATTGACCTTTATGGTTAAAGATGAATGTGTGCTCTAGACTTCAAAGATTAGGTACCCCTGCCAGTCTGGAGTGTGCAAGTGATCAGCACGCCAAGTGCCGAAGGCATCTGCTAAATATCACACCACAGCTCAAAGCTGTGTAATTAAGAAAAATATAAACTGGCTCAAGGAAGAAAAATATTAGTAATAATTGAAAATGCTTTGGCTGTTGCTTTTGTCCTGATGATCTCATTAGTTTTGGTTACAGAAACAGTTCTCACACTGGCTGACGTGGGGCATGCTTTGTTTGTGTTCTCATTCTACCCACATCTTTCCCAGTTAACTTTTATTGCTCAACACAAAGGTCAAATCGAAAGCTTAATTAACTTGTGTATGGGGAAACTATAAACTTATTTTAGAAGGGAGTACAAAAACATTTAAGGCCATCCCATCTCCTCTCCCCCAGACACTCCTCATTTTCTTGGGAAGAACAAGAGCATGTGTTGTTGGCATCCTTTCCCTTAAGGGGAAACTGCACCTTTTCTTGCTTGAAAATTTACATGTTACGAATATCCAGCCTTTTCATAAGCTGATAATTGTATTTCCAATTGACATTTATAACCAGGATTTTAATTTAGCTTTGCAGCTCTAAGCAGACAAAGCTCCATTTTATAACAAGGCTGGATATCATCTTATGCTAGCAGCAGTGTAAGCTTCAACTTACAGCGAGGATCTGAACTTCATCTGCTTAACTTTAAACAAAGGTTGTACCACCAAAATAAATGCTATTACCCACCTGTTTGAAATTAGGCATGTGTCTCAGCCCTGAGGCCTAAAATTGAACAGCAATTTCTCTCTCATCTGAAAAAACTCACACATCATACAAGCAAACTTTACAGTTTTTCCATGGCAAAGATGAGGAGAGAGTCAAACAGCTCGAGAGGATGGTCAGGTCTGAGTACGCTACAACCTGTAGGCCAGCAACGCCAGTCCACAAAAGGCCTAAGCCTGTGTGTGACAATTTGGCTGCCAGTGAGATTTGCGATTCATGAGATGAAAGCTCCTGTTCAGCCACTGTCTCGTCCTGGGGGCACAATTCCCTGGATGCTTCAGTTTCCATCTCCAAAAGCCCTGGGACATTAAGATTTCTGCAGCTGTCCATGTGGGCAGGCCCTGGGGAGCTGTGAGCCCCGTGGTCCTGTGCCAGAGTTGGAGGAAGGCCTGCAGTGCTCCGCTCCTCTGCCAGGCCCTGTCAGCGGGGGCTCACACCAGAGGCTAAGAGAGCAGACATCTGCCAACAAGGGCACCAGTTAACCATGATGACAGAAGGTAGCAAGGCTCAGATCCTTCCTGTGGCTGGTTGATGAGGGGTGCTTGAACACAGGTCTTTCATGCCTTATCCCGTCACCTTTGAGACAGGTGTCTCCAAGTGCAGCAGGCTCTGCTACATGTTCTGAGCACTTGGGTCTAACCAGAGAGCAAACTGGACTGACATACACTGGAAAGAGCTACTCAAATTAACACTTAATATTGGTACTCAAGACAGCAAAAACAGAAGAGATGATAGAAACTGCTCCATGCTGCTTAGTGAGGTCCATGCCTCCCTCCACAAGATGCCAAGAGGGCAGAGAGATGGGCCGCTATCTGTTTAGGCCACAACGCTCTCCCATTTTAGAATAAGCAAATGTCATATCTGTAAGGCATGGGGAGAGGAAAAAAAATGACAGAAGAGTTCCCCACCCACCAAAGAGCTCAGTGACTCAAGGCATGGCCCTTTTAACTCACAGCTGCCTCTGAGAGGCAGAATGGACTCAACACACACATTTCAAGCAGCCTGACTAAATCCCTGAATACAATAACCACAAACAAGGCATCAACTTCCAGCATGGCAGTCATGAAAAACCAACCACAAATATTTCTAAAAGACATCTGAAAGGTTCTTCTCTCCCTGCAAACGCAATGCTGCTATCGTTCCTCACTCTTTAAAAGCCAGTGAAAAATTTCCAGTTATTTCCATTGTTACTTCCATTGCTCCCTAAACACTTGGACAGACGTGATTCCTGCCACAAGATTTTTAAATCACTGGAACCCCATTTCCTTCATACTAATGACAGTGTAAGTAATGATTTCAAATGTTTTCTGTATGTCTGTTTTTTTTTTTTTTTTAGCAACTTTATACTAACAATCTTTTTAGGAGGTTCTGATAGGATATAATTATAATTGATGTTTAATTACACGATAAACACTGAAATCATATCAATCCATGTATCATCTGATTTCTCTTAACGTGGATGACAAAAAAGATTAGCTGTAATGCCAATGGATAGTTCTGGTCCTTAAATACATCAGTAGGAAACATTTGTTTTTTGAATCTTGCCAGACTTTCATTTCAGTGAGAATTGAAACAGAAAGAAACTGTGACATGATATTATCCCGGATTAATCATTTTAGACCTAATATCAAGAGCAGTAAAGGAAAACATCACAGCATTCGACTAGCTTTGGCTCTAGTATGGGAAGTTTAAATTAGTCATTTCTCCTGCTCTAATTTGGCAAATATTCAGCATGCATATCCTCTATTTCACATTGCTAGGTTTATCCGGCCAACCAGAACCCCAGCTCTATCACAGCCGACAGTTATTGACAGAGAGGATGATTAGAGCCATCACTCTACTGAATATCTGTAGCAAGAAGAACATGTTTCATGGAAAAAATACTGAGCGGCTTAAAAGCATTATCTTACTAATAGCATGCAGTGAAACTGATGAACCCTTATCGCATTCAGCAGGATGAAGAATACCCAAATCAACACAAATGTAAGGGAGATACACAACTGAGCTTAAAAAAAATAAACTTTTCTAATAAAATGTCTTACAAAATGAAATAGAGTCCATTAGCATATGCAGAAGACTATGCTTAGTCTGTGTTCAGGCTGTGCAGCAAATTAAAGGAAGGAAATTCCTGTCCAGGGCAGGCAATAATTTCATTCCCAAATTCTGTCCTGATTTAATGGGAGACATCTACATCAAAGCTACCAGGAATGAGTTTAGCTCAGTCCACTGTGGCATATGATAGACTGAGGGCTATAAATCTTCCTCCTTTTTCAGAGAAACAGCATTGCTAAACTTTACATTGGTCAGCAGTGATTACCTGCTTCTCCTATTTAGCCATGTGGAAAAATCACTTCTGGCCATAATCCCACACATCTGCCAACAACTCCTTAAGATATTAATTCCAACACAAGAATAAAAAAAATAAATAATAAAACCACTATTTTGAGAGTGATGAATATTGCATTGGGACTCAAACGCCTGCAGCTTTCAACTGTCTTCTTTAGACAGATGGGCTTAAGCTTGACTGCCCGGGGGGGACTAGTGAGAATGTCATTGTGGTTGCCAAAGCCCTTCTCCTGGCACCTGCAGCACCTCTCCAGTGGATTGTGCCCAGGTGCTGAGGGTGGTAATGAGAAAACATATCAGTTTTTAAGCAGGAAGAATTTAGACAGCATGAAAGCACCACTGTCTTGCTGTAAGCTTGTGGAGTGTGATGGTAGACTCCAGGAGATGGAACGAACTGTCCTATCTAGGTCAGCTAAGGCTCTAAATATCCTAAGTACATCAAAGACCACCTCCACTTGCTTCTATGCACAGAACTGGCATGGATATAAGCAAAACGCTTCTTAGGTGACTGAGCATGTAGCTTGTGCGTGCTTCTACCCAGACAAAGAAGCTGTGACAGGCACTCAGTCTTGAGATGTATCGGTTACTGACAATTTCTTTGTGTTGTAAGAGCTCCAATTAAGGGAAAAACCCACTAGAACGTCATGAGAGCTGACACCACGTGCTGCAATGGATCTGTTGGCACTGCTGTGGTCTATTATGCAAATATGCATTAGTGGACTTTGTAAAACAAATTATGTAAATGTCCATTTAGAGCCTCTTCAAAATGCAGATTACTTGCCTGATGTTTGGGGGCAATTAACGTTTCTGTTGTGAACCTGCACTCAGGGGCTGCTATGTTACAGCCTGTGGATGTCAAGGCCTACTAGCAAAGTGTATTCTGCATGCAGATTCAACCTTAGTGTGAGAGCCTTGGGCTGTAAAAGTCGACTGTGTCATGATCTACTTAAGCAGCATATCATTGACACCACAGGCTTTCAGAAACCCTTCAATTTGCAGCATTCTGAAAGATCTGATTCAGGTATGCATATGTTCATTTGGGATTATGAAGGGGCTTCCTGTTTAATTAAGACTTTATATTTTTAATTGATACATGTCAAAATGTGCATATGTCTACACGTGCAATGTCATTTATTCTCCTGTGGGGAAAGGGTGCGTCTCTTCAATGCTGTTCTTGTCCCTTGGTCAGGCAGGAACCAAAGCCAAAACATAAAGAGCACCAACAGGACTTTGGGCTTGACTAGGTGCTCAGGCCACACGCTTGACACACTAGGTAGAGGTCGATTCCTCACAGTGCTCAGCATGCACTGAGAAGGCTGGTCTCCCACCTAGGAATTAAATCAAACAGCTAAGATTTTTCTGAGCATACTAAGCATCTTGGATTGCTCTGTAGGCTCATCCTGGGCTTCTGAGATTGTACAAAAATCCAGGCCAAGCAATATTTACTTTGCAAGAAAACACGGACTATCTTCCCGGGTAAGGAATTTTCAGAACTGGGATATGAGTAGTGAACTCAGCATTTGTTGGACTTCCTTAAATTCTTGTTTAACTTGAGTTGAGATGGGTGAAATTAACCTTTATACCTCAGCAGCAATCTTCGTGTTTGAAGCAATTGAATCAAAGTAGCTTACCAAGGGCATCTTTCTACTTTATAACTTCAAAGAACATTTATTCAGCGACAGCGTATGAGGATCACATAATTGGAGCCAGCTGATGGAGAAAGGGCTGCATACTGAGCTAGCTGGGGAAAAAGAGACCTAATTTAAGGGTAGGCTAGAGATCTGAAGCAAAGTTCATAAAGACTGGTGTGTTACAAAGAAGAGGTAATAGCTTCCCAGACTGGCAGAGACAGTGCAGTATGAATGGAGGTGTCTTTCTAATCACTGTTGGCTGAGTGCTGTTCTCTCAGCAATGAACTAGTTCCTATATAAAACACAAGGAGCTCAGGACACATTTGCAACCACTCTAATTTCTTTACTAACCTGTTGAGGCACTTCAGAACATTGACAAAAATTTCCATGGATGTATAGTATCTAAGCACCACAGGGTCATGATCTTGACTGAGGTATTCATGAACTGTTGTCAAATCAAGAGCTAAGTGAATCAAACATGGGAAGACAAATACCTTGATAATTAGAGGACAGTAAAGAACAACAATGGGCAATTTAAATTTAATTGAAACCTAACATTTACTGGTATCTGGAACATAGAATCACAGAATCATAGAATCACGAAGGTTGGGAAAGCCCTCCGAAATCCTCTGGTCCAACCATTCCCCTACCACTAATGTCACCCACCAAACCCTGTCCCTAAGCACCAGGTCCACCCTTTCCTTGAACAGCCCCAGGAACGGTGACTCCACCACCTCCCTGGGCAACCTGTTCCAACGCCTGACTGCTCTTTCTGAGCAGAAATGTCTCATTTCCAACCTGAACCTCCCCAACTTGAGGCCATTCCCTCTAGTCCTATCACTAGTTACCTGTAAGAACAGTTACAAAGCTACCAGCTATTTAGTAAGGCTGCGATCAAACATTAAAGTGGAAGCTCTATAGATCTGTAGCCATCTAGTTACAGATTTAGGTTAAAAACGTTCAAAATAATTATAAAAGCAAGACAGAAGGACTACTCATTTTACTCAACCGTGTTCAAATGATATGCACTGGGATTTGCACCCAACAATATCGTTCTATCACTGGCTTGGTACACTTAAGCAATGGTGACTAAAGACATCTTAAAAGCTTCAAAGAAGTCAAGACAGGCTGTTTAACAGGAAATGTAACTACTCCTGTGATATGTCACCAAGCCACAAGAACCTGTAAGTTCTGACACAGCTATTCGGTAGAGCAGAAGATACTGTGAGATGAGAGCTGGCAACAGCCAAAGTATTCACTTCCAACCCTGGCTTAGGAGAAGAAAATACAGGATGGACAACCTCGCATCTGTTTCTCTGCAACAAGTTGTTGCACCGCCCTGAAAATCAAGAGGAAATTTAGCTTTGCCATTAATAGTAAATGAAAAAAATGCTGTGGAGTGACACTGCTTTCCAGTGCAACACTAAAAACAGTTTTCTGTAAAATAGCAACGGGTGTCCTGTTTGTTTAAGGATTACCAAAGTATTGTCCCTTAAGAGAAAAAAGTCCCTTATACAGGAGCTGATGCTGAATCTTTCTCCTGCATTTCTACCAGCTTCCACTACAAAAGCAGAATTAAGTTTATTTATTTTACTTGCAAATGTATAGTTCTTACATCAAGGTGAGTTTGAAACTGGATAGGGAGAAGTGCCTGACGCTTGGACTTCATTTATTACTGTCCAGTTATATGGGGAGGGTTTTCACTAATAGCTTTTGCTTTAAACTGAGCATCTGAAAAAGTGTTTTACCAAACTTTCTCCAGCTGGTGAATCAGAGCATAGCAGTGGACACGCAGGCAGGAGAAGAGGAGGCAGAAGGCCACACATGGCTCATCCAGGAGTACACTGTTTAGTCAGACAGGAAAAGCAGAGGTACAGGATAGTGGGAATGGGACACACGGTGACATCCAAGAGATGAAAACCTCCTTTTGCACTGAAATTGGCAGGGATGTAAAGGGCCACCAGAAGGGTTCATCAGCAGTGAAAGGGAGACTAAGAAAAACACATTCCCACTGATAAATGAAATCAGGTGCACAGAAAAGGCAGCAGTGTTAGGAACCTCCTCTTGTGAGGCTTTACTCACAGGATCATTGTTCAGGTTCCTGTGACTGAGTCTGGGGAAATGAAGTGTTACCCACGAAAGAAGAAAATCAAGGTAGGGAGTGTGTGTTGGGGCTGGGATGAGGACCAGTATTAAAGCTGCACAGATAGCTCTGTGGGACGCTTCAAAAACTCCATCACTGAAGGTATTAAAAACCAATCTAGACACATTGGAATGGTTTTGGTAGAGCTGACTCTGGCTTGGAGCACATATGCACGCTAGATAAGCTTTTTCATCTGTTTTCAATCTTCTGATGATCTATTCATTTTGATGAATCTATTCCATGTGAAAAGCAAATGAAAATGAATTATTTGATCAGTTTGTGACTAAATTTGCAACTATCTATAAAAACTGAGGGTGAACATCTTGTAAAAGGAATATACATTGGCAGCTATTGCTGACGAAGTGCTATCAATAGGCATTAAAGCTGCAAATGGCAAGGTGTTGGCAAAGTGAGAGGAATTGCTGCAGAAAGTAAAAAGCCAATCTGTATGATGAACGGAGTGTACATAAAGTAGAGCAAATTACCAGACACACAGACATGAAGAGTACAGAGGCATGGGAGCTGATTAAGAAGTCCTTGTGAAGAAATCTTGAAGGCTGGCCAGTTCCTCCTAATTCTCTGGCATCCGTTCCAGCCGCTCAGCTAGTGAAAAGAGCACTGTCTGTGATGTGAGCACACACGTGGTCATGTATTACAGGGAGACGATGGATGTGCAATACCGCTGCAAATGGCTGCTTGGGACTGCCAGCCCCCTTTAAGAACAATCCTGCTTTTCAAAGCCTCAGTCATCTTGGGTATATGCCAAGGAGGGAGACTCGAAAGGCCCAGCTCCTGAATTCCTGAGCAAGGAATAAGCTGGGTGTGTGGCTGGATGCGCTGTGTGGCACTGGCACCTCAAGTGTGTGACACTTGGAGGCTCTGCTGCTGGGGTTCTCATTTCTGAGCACCTTTATCCCATACAGCTGTAACCTGAAAGAGATGGGATAGCCACAAGCCCTCACAAAACCACGGATTGCTGTTTTCCTTAAAATCAGAAGCCAATTTTTATTTTTCTCTTTCGGAGTTTTCTTAAGACGTTTCTTTTCCCATTTCTTTCTAATTAATTACAATGTCCTTCAATCCTCTAACTAGAGAAAAAAATAAATTACTTTCTGCACAAGAATGCGTGTTATGGACCTGTGGTAGTTCAAATACTAGAAATCTGCAGCAGCTAAGCAGTCTCAGTATTTTTTCCCCATTGAAGAGAAAATATGAACCATTTCAGCTTTTTCTTCAATACTGTTAATAATAGCTTGTGCTAAGGAAATATTGTTGGGATTGGGATGAATTTGATAAAACTGAGAGCTGAGTTTTACTTGATGCCATAAAGTAATCATCTAAGCTCAGAGTTTGTACTGGGAGTGTATCCTCTGTTTTACCTGCTATCCAGAAAAATTTCAAGGCTAAAAATCATGACCACAACCAAAAGTCTGATTTACATGCCCATTGTTTCTTTAATTCTTCCCTTTTATGAGATAGTCTGCTGTAAATGAGTGCAGAGAAGGTAGGGATAGCCTGGTAAAAATTCATTATCAACTTTTTGTCCCCCGATTGCAGACAGGACTGCTTTAATTGGGGATTCTGGAAGCTGCAGCATTGAAAATAAGGCATACATGAGGTTTGGACTGTTTAACTTTTATCAGCTTACCTTCTTCACGGGTCTACAGTTGAAATAATAGGAAATGGACAATTGCAAACATTAGCCAAATGCTTTTCCAAGGGAGCATCTAAGTAAGTTGTCTTATTTTCAGATAAAATGTGCATCTAACTAACTCCCACTGAAATCAAGACCTTGAAACACCATCTTGGAGCAAATCCAACTGCAGTGCTATAGCAGGACCACAGCCATGCAGGACCACAGCTATTCAGCATTCCCTACAGTGCACTGCCAAAGCGAGGGTGTGTTGCAGCAGCTGACACAGAGATGACTGACCACAGCTCATTTTAGCAAGGTCAGTATCTGCGACAGTTTTTCTTGAGTGCATCCAAGGGAGAAACCATCACATCCCCACAACACATCACGGTAGCTGCCAGAGTACCAACAAGACCCCAGCAGTGGCACTCAGATACTGATTTAAGCAGCAATGTTTTTGCTTGTCGTGCGTGGAGTGGGCTAAGAAAGGGAGATTGTGAAAGACAGTGGAGAGATGGCATCAGGATGGGAAGAGAATACAAAGCTGCTTTCCACAGTATGACCTATATTTTGGTCTTGATTGGCACAACACACAGTTTCATTTTTATTTAAAAAAAAAATAAAAATCTGGCTCTTGGAATGGAAAGCACACTGCATATGCAGCCATGGGGCCCCTTCGCACTTCTTTGCACCACACGTAGTTACGTCTGCCAAATTGATGAGGAACACTGCTTACTGCTGTAGGTGCAAGAAAATTGCATCTGGCCTTGCAGAGCTCTGAATGACTACCTTAAGTTCAAGGCACTCGTGAAGCAAGTCTGAGTATTTTTTTTCTGCATTTCCACTATTAAAAGCTTCCCTTTGGTTTAGATAGCAACATACACTGGGGAAACCACACCTTTAGTACTACACAGTGCGCTCAGCCCAGCACAGTACTGCTCTGCAGTGCCAGTGGGATGGCGCAGCAAGAGCATGTACCCCAGCAAAGCAGGGAGACAGAAAACCAGCAGACAGACTAGCTGATACACCAACATTTCCAGGTATAAGTCCCTTTTAAATCAGGTGGTACCATGCTCTTATTTAGCCTTTGAGCCCATACAATTACAAACACACTTTTTCAATAGCTCTGAAGCTGTGCTGCTACTGCATTATGTAATTTCTAAAAGATCTGCCTGTAAAACATGATGGAAAAATGAATGCTACAAGATGCAAACAAGACCCTGCCTCCCTCCCAGAAACACTACATCCTTTAAATCCTAGAATTTTTTAGTGGCTAAAGTTATACTTCAGTTGAATTCCCAGTGTTTGGGTAAATTTATGATACAGCAGACAAGTAATTTATTTTCTTATTTGTAATGAGCCTTATAACTTCTGCTTTACTACAGATGTCAGATTCTATACTATATTCTATCATTTGCCAGTGAAAGCTTTTCTTAAGAGTTAAGACATTCAGATGAATCACGTTTTCTTTGCATCTTTTTTACATGAAAGGTTTCCTTGTCTCTGTAATTCCCACTTCCCACCCTCCAGTTTCTGTTGCTTTCGCTGTACAGAGCTAGACTGTGATATTTATTCCCTTACTCAACAATGAATAGTACAACGTATCAGTGAAAGCCCTTCTGAAGTCAGTGAGACAGTTTATGGGGTATGGTCCTACTCACTGTGAGCAGAAGTGTTTCAGCCTGGCCCGAAGAAAAATGCAAGATGACGTAAGTTGAAATGAATACGGTTACTCACCACTATAATATACATGTTAAATGGAAAAGACCTGGGCAGATAGAATACCATTTAATTAGCTGCCAAATATTTTGCCCCCCTAAAGCAGGTATTGAAGGATCATGGGAACACTTAAATCAAAGCATTGCTGTCTTGACACTAATTCCATAAAAATGAATGGCAGACGTAACATTTTACATTTCGAAAATGCCCTTCATTCCAGAGTCCTAACAGATGTTACAAACAGGGAATGTGGCAGCATTCCTACAAGCATTATTCCCATTTTTCAGATCGGATAACTGAGACATGAAGAGGCTAAAATGCTCTAGGTGGTTGTCACCGAGGAAACCTGCAATTACACTGTGTGTCAGCAATATATCTGCATCCTTCTGTCACAAAACTGATGTAGGCAGATGTCATTCTAAATCCAGACATTTACTAAAAACTAATTTAGCTTATCTCCAAATTAACACATATTGCATAAATAATATTATGCTGGTTTTCAAGTTTGTAGCTCACATGCAGGCTTGTGATTCTTAGCCCACAATTTTTACCAAGAAATTGTCTTTGTTCTCTTTCTATATCTCTAAGGACAAATGAGTCCTGATCTAATGCTGGGGCACCTGGATTACACAAAACCTGGAGTATGTAGGGCATGAAGAATTGTTTATTGTATTTACCTAGAGGGTGCCAAAACTGAATGGCTGATCTGGCTAAGAACAGGATGGGCATTAAAACCAGAAACTGCAGAATACACTGTTGAATGACATTACGTTTCTTAAAAGAAAAAAATAAGAACAATCAGATGTGATGGTAGAAGTATGTAACTGTTTCTGCCAATGTGAGGTGCAGTAAATTACAAGTAGGAAGTATCAAAAGCAGTGTTACACCTGGGAAAACTTTCAGCAAACAGGCATTAAATAGTGTAAGATAAAATAGCCTTCCTCAAATTATGCAGCTTCCTAGAAGTTTCACATCTGATGTGATAGAGGTTACAGGGAAACTCTGATGAGATCAGTATTTTGTGTGGGTGTGGTGCTGGTGGTTTTTTAATACTTCCTACAATAGAAATAAATGGTACCGGGTTCCTGAAGCACTTCTTGACAGGCTTACTGCAGACAGCTATTATTCAATTCAGAAATTCTCACCTTCTATGGGAAATCACAAAGCCAACTAACTTTCGTCTAAGAAGTGAAGTTACCCAATGACAACATATGCCTCAGCATCTGGAGATTACCATGCAACATATGCAACAAATGTGGTCTGCAAAGACAGAGCGAGACAGTAACTTGTTATGGCCTGCCTACTGTATTGTTAGATTATTATCATCTAAATATACTGAATGCTTGCGTTCACATAACTTTATGCCTGACCAAGTATACAATGCAATTAACATTTTAAAGCCATTTGGCACATGTCTAATCTTATTGCTGTCTTTGTATTTTCCCTATTCCCTTATTTACAGATATTCATTTCTTTTTGCTCTAGGCCTATGCTGAGCTATCACGTACATCTCTCAGGGCAGAAATGAAGGGTGAGGTAAACTCGGTTACAAATACCACCAAGAAATGCAAACATCATCCATAACCTCTTATCGTGGGAACGGAAAGATTTGGACCTAACACTCTCCAAAGGGCTCTGTGTTCAGTGGCTATAAAACGTTCAGGACGTCTCACACACTGGACGAGGCCAGAAGTAAATGTGAGCCTCTCAGTGAGATGCTCTGGTTAGTGTGGTACAGGGTAAAGGAAGACCTGAAGACAGAAGATTCCCTCTTGCTCAGAGCAGCAGGGGTGCTTTGATTGCAGCAACAGGCTAGTGGCAGTGCTGACATCTGTACAGCTAAAACAGGCAGTAAGGGCTTCTCCTGCTACAGCATGTGGCACAGAGCAGTCTAGCCATCAACCTTCATCTTCCCTTCTCTCCCACTCTCGTCACTGGCCAGCTCCTTGCTTTCTGTGTGCATGCAGTCCCGGAGGGCAGAAAACACCCATGGCCCTGCATTTCGGAAAAGAAATTGAATATTCTTCCTATGCCTTCCCTAAGCAATTTGCTTTTTCTTTCAACATCTCTGCTTTTATGCACATCCCAATTGCTTCCCATATTCAGAACTGTTATTCCTGTTTGCATCAAACATTTTTGGGTGCCCCATGTGCTAAAAGAACAGCTCAAGTTCTGTCACAGGTAGGACAGCCTGGTCGATGTCCGCTCCGTATGGAAGTGAACAGGGTGGGCTTCTGCAGGTACGTGTGCCACAGGAGGGACTGCCGTAATGCGTTACATGGCAGTAACTGGCTGGTAGAAGTGAAGGAATTCATTTGTACACTTCTAAACGCAGCATTAGGAATGTGCAGTAGCATGCAGAGCAGTCATTTCAATTTTACTTATGTACCTCTTGTAAAAATAATCATTTATGGTCATTATAAATCTGCTCTAACATAAATCAAATGAAGAAATCAGTGTATTATTGCTGTTGGCTTTGGTTTAGTTTCTCTGGAAACTGTGAGTGTTAGCACTGTCAGTAATCAGCGTTGTCAGCCACCCCAAAAAGGGCATTAAAGAGAGGTGGCTGACAACGATGCTCAGTGCTTACAATGACCAGTTGATTGTCCCTCTACGTGCAGGAGGCAGAAACAGAGGTGGCAAAGGATGCTGCCCGCAGGGTTGTTCACAAAGGTCTGTGTGGGCACACGACCTTGTGAGGCCGGCTGCTGCCGGGAGGCAAGGCTGGTGGCCTGGCCTCCATCCCCTCCCACCCAGCTGACATGAGCCAGGGAGGTGCCTGGGCTGTGCCCTGTTCCTCCTGCAGCACGGTGGCGGCTCTGTGCCCCCTTCTGTGCCTGATGAAAGCTCTCAAGCCTCAAGAATTCAGCTGCCAGGCAAAGAAGAAACAAACGCACTTTGTGGCAAACAGTGGTTGGGCCAAGCCACAACAAAGGCACCAAGTTGGATGGCCACATGCTGTACGGAAACACCAGAAGCTTTTTCTCCATTACAAACCCAAGGAATTGCATAAGTTCATGTGGTACCTGGCCCTATCCTCTGATAACCCCCTGCTTATTTCCTCACAGGCAGCTGGGAATGGAAAGAGCTCTTCATCTTGGTCACACAGTGGGGCAAGCCAAAGGGAGGGGACCAATGCTTAAACCGAAAGAGAGAAAAAGCTTTTGATGAAGAAAAGCTTTCCCTAAACATTTCTGACATCTCAGGATATGAATTACTCTCGTTTATACTGGAGAAACAGCTAGAATAATCTGGGGAGAAAAAATGACCTCTGACTTGCTCAAAGTTAACAGCATTATTGAGAGGAAAGCTGAAGGTATTTTTTGTTTGTACCCAGCAACTGTGCTATGCAGTTTGATGGGGATCATATCTTGTCACGAATGAGCACAAAAAAAGAGCACAGAGGAGCCCAGTCCTTAAACAGAACCTCAAAATCCCCCAAAGAGTTTTGAAATCATTTTTTTTCCCCTCTTGAACTCGTCACTCTATTTGCTCAAAAGATTCCTTGTGGGGAAATAACCCTTCAGAACCCTCCAGTAGAAACCTTCACTGCATTTCATTCTTCTTGAAAGACAACCTGTAGTGCCAAGGAGGAAAAGATTGGAGACCACGGAGAGAAGCACACATACCAAAACATAGGACAGCAACCCCATCCTATGCCCGGCAACTTGTCCCCAGACAAACCTGAGTGGGTTGCAGTTTTCTGTGGGAATGTGCCACCAGGCTGCCAGGTCTGCTTTTAGCCTTCACCTACTCACAAACAGCCAAATGACTGAAAGTACAGGGTGCAAAATAAAAATAAACCAACCACATTTAGACCCTCTGCTGCTATCTGCTTATCCGCCTCTGTCAGTGATACAATTCACATCTGAAACACATTTTTTTTTATGTTCTGGTTCAAAGTGGAAAAAAGATGTAAAAGCAAACAGAGTACCTCTCATTTTTATCATCCCTAAGAAAGTGTGTCACAAGATACTGAAATTCTCTTTATTCCTTATACAACATTTTGCACAGTGCTGTTTCCTGCTCAGCACCTTGCTCAAAATGAATACAGGCAAGTATTTGCTCTCATAATTACCTTCTGATAGCAGGGATTATATCCTGCCTTGAATCTGCCATCTCCCTCTAGAGCAAACTTGGCTGGATGAGTAGCGTTCATTAGAAATTAACTTATTAGTATTTTGACTTGACATCAATTGTTTCCTCGCTGGTAGTTCAAATACAAATTTTTAATTAGAAGGATAGGATAACTCACACTGGCATTTGCAATAATAGTGTCACCAAACCTCAGACGTTATGGGGCTGTGATGGGACAGTGGCAGAACCGATGCACACGTGGCCAGCTGCTGCTGAATGTAGCGGCGCTCGCTTGATCCTGAGCAGGAACTGGCCCCTTGCACAACACCACGCTCTGGGGATGAAGGAGCTCATAGGGCTGCAGCCGCAGCTGACAAGCCTCACCGCTCCCTGCCTCATTCCTTGTTATTACTGCTACCATTTGACTGAAATTTCCCTTTACGGGAAAAGAGTCCGGTCTTCCCCTTCTCAAGTCTGTGGGCCCAGAGGCAATGGGAAAAGAAGTCCTGGAATTTGGGCAGCAGTGTCTGAGCAATGCCTTCTTCATCACTGTCTGGGAATTTCAGAAGAAGCCGAACCACAAAGGACCTTGTAGTGGACGCTGTGCAACAGGCAGCTCACGGAGAGGGCACCTCTGGGAGCAGGAAGCTACCGCCCAGCACGGCTGCACGACACGTGCCCAAACCGTAAACCTGCTGACACTTGAAATCTAAACACAGCATTGCCCCAAAAGGAATGGTCTCCCTAACAAGCATCTCCTCCTGCCAACTGCCCAAAGAGAATCAGCCCCACGTGTGGCCGGAGCTGCTTCAAACCAGCACTTAAGCACCTGAAGGCATGTTTCAGGGAACATTCCTCCACAAGCCCTTTCAGGAGGAGTGCACTGAGATAGGGATTTTGGTGGCCTGGATGGACCCCAGTATTGCGATCCAGGAATCATTTATTCTGCTTTACTAAATGATTACACAGGATCATTAACATAAAGTCAAAACTCTTCAAAATGACGTGGTGAACACTTCAAATGAGACTAGAGGAGCCCTGCTGCATCTCCCCGGCACCTGTTGGGACCCGCAGGTAGTTCTGCCTGTGGATGCAGGGCCAGGGGAAGCGCAGAGCCCAGCCAGAGGCAGCTCCCCAAGTCACAGACACAACCCAGCAGATCTCAGCTCCTCAATCCCATGGAAGGGGCAGGGAATTTACCTTCTTCAGAAGGTTGCAGAGATGATAAAATCCCTTTGTAACTGAGAGATGCACATATACTACAGCAGCATGTCTATAGTCCTGCAAGCATGTCCTACATCCTCTCCATGGCAAAGAGATTAATTCTGAGGAACCGGCACCGAAAGGTTTCTATGAGCAAATGACAGATCTGTTCCGTCTCGTCCTTCAGAAAATAAAACAGGAGACACTGGTGAAGTGTTCATCGCATCCCAATTTTTGATGGATGGACATGGAGGACAACTTCTGCATCTTTCTTGTCAGAAGTAATTCCAAACACGGGGAGATGTAAGGAGGGCTTCTTCAGCACCTGTGCCAAACTCGTCAGAGAAAATCCTATTTTCTAGCAACTTCATGAACTTCAAGAAAATGTGGAAAGTTTGGTATGCTACAACTTCTTTATTTATATATATGTGTGTGTATATATATATATATATATTATATATATATAGTTAGTTAGTCATATAGTATGCAGAAAAATGTCATTGCAGCATATTTAGTATATACAAGTAGACTTGCTAGCTGGGAAATCTTATCTATGGAATAATTACTAACTGAAAGAAAGTATTTGCCAATACACCAGAAATCCCATGAATTTCATTCTTTGTTGTAAATGACATCAAAGCAGTGATAAACTTGAATAAATGAACTGAGGCAACAGAAAATTCTTCCAAGATTTATATATTTCAGAGATTTGCTAATGCATTGAAAACAAGAAAATAAATTAAGGGTCACACCCGCACTGAAATCAAAGAGAACTCCACCACATATTTACAAATATTATGGGGAACATTCTTTTACTGAAGTTGTCCGAGAGTTTGATTTTATCTAAACCGCATTACTGAAGAAAGCATATTTTAATTAAAATCCTTACTGCACCAAACTCTTCAAGTCAATACTTACATCCTATTAATATCAAAGAGATGTACTTCAGTGCTTTCCCAAACAGAGAAGGGCTGCTGAATTTAGGATGTATCTGCAATGAATCAGCTTCCACTGGGTCCACTGAAGCCTCCTGACAGCCTGCCACAGCACTCGAGAGCCACTAGGACACAAGGAAGCCACCCACCTCTCGCTGCCCTGCTGGGGATGTCTCCACGCACAGCCACACCACCAGCAACTCAGCTTTGTCAGCTCACTGTGAGTCACCCAGCACACAACCACCACAGCAGCAGGCGCCCACTGTGACCTCCTACCTCCTCACGAGGAGACAAAGGGACAGACGGACTCTTCACGGCTGTCAAGGGTGAGAACGGCCTGTTGTGACACAAGTGACTCAGCCAGCTTTGTAGCGAGCACCACAGCAGCCATCTCGCGGCTCAGGCTTTCACTGCTGGCTTGGGCAGGCAGCTCCTCTGGGGAGACGGTTGCACTTCTGGATCTCTTGCACAGTGACAGCTATCAAGACTGCCTGGGAGGCAACGGGAAGGGCACTCAGCACCTGAAAGGCTATTTCAGCCTAGAGTCATGAGGGTGGGAATGAAAACAGGTGGCTCAATTTCTTGATGCAGATGAGACTCAGATATGTCTCTGCATGGGAGCTCGAAAAATGATCTAAGTCTAGGAAGATCATATAGGGTCACTGGCCATTAGCACCTGGCTTTCCTTCACTTGTTGGTATCACCAACACCAGCAGCAAAGTGATCTTCGTGGAAAGCCAGAGCAGCCTGCAGGTTGCTTGGAGCTCAGAATCACCCTCTGAGTGCTACAGACATACAAGTGAAAAGAAAATGCTTTACTTGGCAGCAGATGTTTACTTAGACCCAAGCAAAAACAACAAAAAAAAAAGCACCTCTCAGACATGTTTACTTCTGTTTTGTTGCTGACAAAACACTGGCAGACACCAGCTCCTCTGTCATCATTAGAAAGGTAACAGATGAGTCTGCAAGTTTCAGGAACCTCTTATTAAGGGAACTGAAGAATTAAAAAATGTAGATGCATGAAGAAAGCTTAAATTCCACCAAAAGAACAGAACAAGTAGTAATAAAACATTTATTTTTTAAAACTATTTGTATGCACAAGATTCAACTATTATATTAAATTATAACTGCGACACAAGAAAAGGCATTTAATTGCACTCCCTTCTAAAGTTAGTGCCTGTTTTGTTTGTGGGAAGAAGAGCAGCACTAGGCTGTTTTGGATGTTGGACTATCACTTGTATTTGTTTTGAGCCAGTTTTAAACATCCACTGGGTTCAATGGGAAGACTCTTCACACTTAGCTTTCAATCAAACATTTTATGATTTACTTAAATGAGAATAAACATTTCCTAGGATTTCAGCATTCTTTCTGCTCAGACAGCCAAACTTTATGGCCTTGTTCCCAAACTGACTGCTGCTTTCTGCCACTCTGTGGGTTGGCACAGTGGTGAACGCACCCACTGGTTTGAGTGTGACCGCAGGACCACCAGAACCTTCGGCCAGCACAAGAGATGTTCAAGATGCCTGAATGGCACATGCAGAGTGCCCGTGATGCTTTCACACACGTTTCTGGCTGGGATATGCTGGGTAGAAGCAAAGCAGCCTGTTCTTAGGGGCCTCGGCCCGGCAGCCAGTGTGGCTAGCAGATTCCTGCACCTCTCAGGACTGGGCCCATACATTCTGAAACGGGGCATGCCAACAGAACATCTGTAACACATCACCTCTCTTTGTAGGTCTCCAGTGACCAGAAAGCAGTAGTTCAGAGTTCAGTCACAAATCTGGCAGAAAAGCAGTAGCTGACTCAACAAGCTGCCTTGGGAACAGCTCCCTTCTGCAAACCCATGCTGACAACTTCTGAAGTGAAGAAACCGAATGGCACAGACCGTACAGCTATTGTTGTTGACTTTTATCATCATAGTTACAAGGAAATACAACTTCAGCTGAAGAATTTGCTGATTCACCCACCAAAATGTCCATTTAAAGCATACCCTTTTCCATTTAACAGCGCTGTGATGTGGGGTAACTGGCAATGGCTGCAGAAGCTCTCAGGTAAGCGAGGACCCTTGACTTCACAGCAATGTTGTCACACTGGTGTCCTCTAAAGGTCTGTTATGTGTAACCCTTGCTATGGCAAAACATTTCCAAGAGCAGTTTAGTAGATTAATCAATTTTCTCTTGACATGGGATTCTTCACAGAGTGTATTTTTCCCATAATTTTGCTGTACAAAGATGACAGTACTCTGATAAACAGACCGGCTTTGTATAATTCATCAGCAGTTTCAACAAACATTGTTTCAAACTTCTAATTCCTTCTTCTTAACCCCTGTGGCACATTCAAGCTAATAACTCTTGACATATGGAAATCCAAGAGCGGCTTTTGGTTCACTAAGCTCTAATAAAGTCTCTCTGTACAACATTTATATACAAATCCTAAACCAGACGCAAAGTATGCGATTTTAATGGTCTGAGGTCATGTTACTGTAGGTACATAGCTCGCAGTTTACATGATCTGCTGGCTGCCTTGTTTATCGAATTATGTGGTACTGGCTAATTTTATTTTATATGTCTGAGTTGGGCTGGGGCGAAGGTCAGCTGGAGCAAGCAGCCTGGGGCTGGGATGCAGTTGTGGTTTGGAGTGGGGAGGGACAGACAGCGAGCAGCAGGCTTGCAGCCATACAGCCTAAGCCTTGGGAGCGGGGCAAAAGGAAAAACTGAATGGAGAGCACGGGACGCCTGAAGCCTGGAAAAGGAGAGATGTACTTTCCTAACTCATCCGGCAGCAGGAACCACAGCCGAGCGTGCCGCAGGCAAGAAACAAGCGGTAGAAGAAAGAGCTGAGAAAGAAAACCCTGGGAAAGCATGCGGGGCAGTGCTGGGGTGAGCAGAGAAGACCCAGAAGGCAAACGGAGGGGACAAAAGTGGAGGGAGGCAATAGGAAAAAGGGGGGACGGGCGAGTCGCCAACAATAGGGCGACTGTTGTTGAGCGGTAGCTGCGACAAACACTTTGGCCTTTTGATCCAGTTACAGACATTCAGAGAATTGCCTTATGCAGGCAGAACTGGGCAAGGGGCCAGGACAGAAACACAGGGCCTGATTCTGCAAACCTGCCTGGTGTCCTCCCTGGGAACAGCCCTCGGCTGTGGGAAGAAGGCTCATGGCTTCTGCCACACGCAGCCTCTGTGCTGGGCTGGCTTTTGCCTTAATGCCAAGTTAGCTCCCAAGAAGATCTGGTGCTCGGCACCTCTGAAAGAAGTACTACCTGAAACGCCAAGGGGCCTGATTTTTCTTTATGCTTTTTTTGTACATCCTTCAGTTGCTGGAAGGGGTCTGCTGGGGATCTGCTTGGGTACTCTTGAAAGTTCTCCTCTCCTGTCTGCACCTGTAAAATGGCTTTGAAAATGTGGCCCAAAACACAGATTTGCATGCTTGCAGTCTGACCTCCAAGTTTGAAAATGCCAACAAAGTTCCCTGGGATAGCCTTGGGAGTCTGGTTTAACCTCGGTATTTCCAAGAATGCTGCCTTAATTAGGAACTTCTCCAACCAGGAAAAAAAAAATCTCCATCTCCCTGAAAAGAGTGTTGAGGTACTTTGTACTGAAGACTTTTCCAGAGTAATTCTGAAACGGACGAGAGTATACCTAGTACTGCCACTAGGACTTCCCAGACCACTATTAGGCTATGGGGAAATTGGTCTGCACCATTTAAACTCAAAGGAAAAGGCAATGAATTAGACAAAAAATAAATCCTTATGCATTTGTCTGGATAGAAGCAGATAATGGAATTTTGTTTGCTTCCCATAGGAAAATTTTAGTAAGATTCGTTTAAGCCAGTCTTTAAGACAATATGTGAAGCATTCCAGAGAATTACATGTCTAATAGGATAAAATGTTTGCACACATACATCAGTACATTTATGTATACACATGCTTATAAATTATTGTTTATCTTGAATAGCTGCAAGTTAACAGGTCCCCAAAAGTGTAAGAATTGTCCTCAGCAAGTGGGTACTTTGAGTTCACCACCTAATACCTGTAAATATTTGTCACAGAATCCCTTTTTTATTTCCAAAATCCTCATGCAATGCACATTCAAGCTGCCTATTTAAAAAGAAACTGTCTACTTGAGATAAGCTGCTCCCTACACATTTCTGCATTTATC